TGTATGTAAAAAATTGCTCTGTACACACCCCTGTGTAAAACAGGCCTCTTTTGTGTCATTACATTACCTTGTGTATGGAATCCGCTCTCATCATTCGGTACACCCCCTTAGTTGCTCTTTATCGGTCGATGTCATAAAATGAGCTCACTCCATGACAACCTTCTTGGTTCGCAGACACGTAGCATGTACGAAGTAGTACTGTATGAAACCCGTCTGTCAACGGTCGTAACGACACTTACGCACGCTTAAAGTCAGCCTTTGCCATCGTGGGCACGAACTGTAATAAAAAGGTGGTTCATTCTCAAATTCGTCGCATTTAATGGTGGACAAAGTCAAAGCCTTATATAGCTGCTGCGAATGACCTTTTGAATCCGATGTCTTAATCCAATGTTGCTGGTTTTACGTATGCTAAACTACAGTGAAAATTATTTGCATGCAGGGGAATCAAAATGCATGCACAAGGGGTCCCGTCTGTTGCAGTACAGCCAAACTGATCCCAGAAGTGGAGTAAGCTTAAAGCAGGTCGCCCTCCATGTCTCGAATAGCCGTTCGAATTTGGTGGCTGTGTATGCGTTCGTAGATGGATCAAATCAGCATTAGAAACCGTGTGCTGACCCTTTAAGGCGCAGCCGTGGTGTGAACAAGCAGCTATAGACGTTTCATCCAGATATGTAGAGAATCACGTTTGAAAAGTCTAAAATGTGCGTCGTAATGTGTTTTGAAAATCATCGTTTCCCGCGACACAAGCTGCTGCCAACGTTGACGATGCCGCCCAAGACATCATTATACTGATCGACAGCGTCCATCGATAGACAAGATACACGCGATGAAATGAGAGGAGTTATACTAGTAGGTACGCCCTAAGGTGCGTACTCTGAAACGATGAGATCTTATACTAACAAGTAATAATCTACTTATTCAATCAGTGACTTATACAGATTGGATCATGACTCAGCAATCTTACGAGCACTGTACCGATTGACGAGTGTGTCACATCAGTACCGTAAATTGAATGGATACTTGCCTAGGCTAACAACGTACACGTTCTTCTATTGTAGCATTGGAAGGTGTGCCACAGCAACACGTTCGTGCAAAAAATATCTTTGATACGGACGCACCTTTAATTAGACATCAAGACGTAAACAACAGTTCAGCACAGAGCCTAGGATAGCGACGGATGATGGAAAAGACATTAGCTAAAGCATTGTTTATGGTCCTATAGGAGAGAAGACCTAATCATTCCGAAGGAGTTGCCGCTTACTTAACGAGCTCGTTAACCTTAATGACGCCATACAGCTCTGATCCGTCGGTTCTGATGCCATGACTACAACCTAATTACCGTGTGTAGTTGTTCAGGCCACTCATATACTCGCGAAAGGGTCCCCCGAAATTGTACGCACACAAATCGTTAAACAGAGGACCCATATGGGTGTATAATGCCTCACGAGAAGCATGTGAATAGAGCTACTGAATCGTTCAGCTTCAATTACGCCAATATATAGTCATTCGGGATCCCACAGTATTAGAAACGTAGTATTAGCCTAAGCGCGAGGCAGCATCATCTATTGCCAAAGCGAAGACCGTAAGAAGCGGCAGCAAGCAGTGGCAGAGCTTGCTGTTTTTGGAGTACCAGCAAATGCTATCTTCAATATTTGATCCAGAAATTCTAATTAACTTCTAATATTGAAAATACAAAATTAGGGTACTTAGAGCGGGTGTACCGGATGATGAGAGCAGATTTCATACTCAAGGCTGTGTGCTGACACAAAAGAGGCCCGTGTTACCAAGGGGTGTATGCAAAGCATTTTTTGCATACGATGGCATTTTGTATGTATAAGTGTCCATTACATAGTTAGGAAGGTTACGGTACTAAAGGAGGAGCTTCTATTTCAGGGGGTTCGAACCAAAGGGTGGGTGTGTACCTATAAATCTCCTATATTATACACCCACATAGTTAGCAAGTAAAGAACTATCCACCCACCGATCAACATTTAATATAAGCTTCTAGCAGCGCGACTTAGAAAAGCCGGCACCGCAAAAATAATCGTTCTATCTATCTATACTTATGTTATCTTTTGCTTGTTCGCAGCTCGACTCTCAATATGGCATGCATATTTGTGTGACAGATACAGGTTAAACAAAGGATGAGTAGACTCGTAATTAAATATGACAGGGTCACATAGATATATGATGAGCAAAGTAGCATAATTCAATACCGCAGAAATCACCGTGTGTCATGGGGCAAGCCGGCTACATGCTATTGGCACAAACTGTGTCAATGTAAGTAGTAACTTGATTAATACTATTATAAAATCATATTTTAAGAGACAACAAGAAAGGTATACCTCCGTTAGGGGGAAAGGTCGCTACACAATTACTTGATACAAGCCAAGTTACCAACCAGGTAAATCAATAATCGCTGCTGGATGAAGAGCGAAATCTTTGATTATTATAAGTTAAATATAGCATAAGTGAGATAAGGAGGGTCTAACAAAGAAGACGTAACATTGATAGCATAGTTTACTTTCACAGACTCTGAGCAATTATTTACTAGCGGAATCCTATTTCTCTGCAAGTAAAGTCTAAATGAGGGTCAAGGAGCACACACATACTAAGTAAAACGACATTGTCATATTCTATTTTCCGCACATTTGGACTTACACAAAACTACTTTGTGTGATGCTTTTCTTTCCACTTGTTGGATATTTTCTACAATGTTTATGGTGCCGGCTAACACAGGGAAGAAACAAGGCACCGCGGTTGTACCTCGCTACGATATGAGCTATCCCGCACATACAGCAGGTAAGTGCCACAAAAGATTACGTACATTCAAGGGTGCAGAGAAACGCACTTAAAATCTAATGCAAGTATTAGTCGATCATAAATAGAGGACTGTGGATATCTTATACAAAATTAGTATCTGTTCATTGTCTTCTTCAATCCATTTTTCATTGTATAAGCTTCAACAATCATATCTATAAATGCTTGCCACCCATTACGCGCGGCCATCATACCCGGATACCTTTTTTGTTGATCTGAATGTGCTTATATAAACCAATGAGGAGATAAAGTATATATATACACATATTTCATTTAACCTACATGCTATTATACGGTTACATAATTGCTTGACAAACATTTGCATATTTGACCTCTTTCTATCAGGTCCCCGTTACACAAAAAATATGTACGCCCATATCTTTATATAAACTTGTAACTCCTGCCTGGATATAAGGCTGCGTGCTCATATATATATATATATATATATATTGTTAAGGCCTAGCAAATAACTTGCGTACTAGTGCTCTAAGTGTGCAGTAGTGTCCAAAATTGCGGTCCGCAGAGAAGCTGCACAGTAATTTTTTTGATGCGCATCATAATAAAATCGTAATTATTAGCTCTTCGACTATAATACGTGTTACTGCTCAATGTAATCGACTAGATTGGCTTGGAATGATTATAGCTACAACATTTATCGTTGGATCGACGATCTAAGAAGAGGTCGACAGGGTTTAATGGCAACAGGTGATAGGAATACGAAAGGGGCCCCTTCGCACGCATGTCGTAGCATTCATTATCAACTCTAGACGCATTCTTATCTGCTTCCTAATGATGCTAATTTGTATGTATTCCATTAAGTAGATAAAGCGTCTTATGCAACGAACCTGTCTCCATTGGTATGTATATAGTCCCATTTAGAAAGTACTGAAGTGCGTCTCATCATGCTGCCATTTATATCCTCCGATGGATATGCGATATAAAAAACCTGGTGCTAGAAACCATATCAAGACACGGTCGCCTCTATAATGCGATAGAATGCCAATAGAGCTCGAGTTATTGTAAGCAGGACATCGCGAGCACTGATCTGCAAAATGAGTAACTATAAATCCGCTTGCTTTTAATCTTCACTTGGTATAGCGTCAAACGTTTCATGAAAAGCTGCACCACCTGAGTATCTTGGAGATTTAACGGCGTATTCGTAAGCTGACGGAAAGCCCGAGTATGAAGTACAATTTAGGCCTTGTGGCGAATACTACGGCAAGGGTTAGTTCATGATATCTGGTACAATTTGACGTTGTTAATGCCAATAAAAAGCACCGATAGGCAGGTGAATGGTGATCCCAACCTCGTCAGCTCTCGTTACAAGCTACGTTCTCTTGGTGCATGTACCTAGTTAAGTCGCACATGTTACCTACAGTCTAAAGGTGAGTATCTTTTTACTCTACGTCTTTATTTAACCTAAGTAATCATTTATTTATATATTATTTTATCAAATAATTTCATTGTTCATATAGTTTTAATTAAAAGTTAGATATTATTGTAACATGAAAAAAATATGGCTACGAAGGTTTTGATACTATAAACGAGATTAATATTCATTGCTGACAACGATAAAATAGATGTCTCTTTTATTTAATTAATATTAATCTTGTGTGTGCTTCAGCTTTTAAGTTTTTATACAGAATCCAAATTCTTGGGAAAAAAGATTACTATTTGTTACTTAAAATGTTTTTACAAAAATATTTAAGTGAAAGTTGAACTTGATATAGAATGAGGAAGCCCTTGAGATCTGGCTTCGGGTTGAACTTTGCATTGATTGTTTAATGATACGGTTGGAATTGTTCGACGGAGGAGTGCTGCTCTCTCCTCAAGCTCATATATTTCTCTATCGCAACGCTTACAATCTCATAAAGAAGTTTCAATGGCGCCTTCTGATGTGTGTAAAGCAATGCATGAATGAACTGGCGTACCAAGAACCCTCATCTAAAAGTTTACGAACAGGTTGCGACACCGCCTGCCCTTGCCATGAAACGACTTCATATACTTTACTAAATGATGATTGGTGCGACATGCACATTGATCACCGAGGTTTTTCGCAAAGACAAGATTAGACACCAGACACGAATGTTGAGTGAAATCTAGGCGAACACATCGGTACAAGCAACAATTAGACGGATGACATTCCATCAACGAGTTGGCAGCATCGTGAGGCACGCGAGCTAATATGTTTGTCGCAGTATACGTGTCTCCTCTTTTTCGAGCTGCGTATCTAAGCTAACGAGTCGCTCACCTTGCGTCGGCTTTTGACTATGGCAAGCAGGTACACATCCATTCGACGTACTATGAAGCGTGCGAGCACCGTCGTTAGCAGCTATCAGCTGCTGCGGACAAACGAAAATCCTGACAAGACTGCAGACCGTCCTCGACAATATTGAAGCTTCGACTTGCAAACTCAAGCACTCTTGCTTTGCATCAACGATCCAACGAGGATGCCGTTTCGACTTATTGTAGCGACGTGACAGCCTGTCAGCCATTCGCTGTTGTAAGTCTTGGAATTTGGCGAAAGTCCCGCCCCATTGCTTTGACACCGACTCGATTTGGAGGATATGGTCATGTATCCGCTCACCGTCTTCACTCCAGATAGGGGTCGTTTTCAGTCGTCTGGACGTTGCCGAAAGCAGGTGACGTGTTTCCTGGAGCTGCTCGATCATAGTTTGCCTGACGACGTTCATTGACGTGCGAACGCGAAGCCGCTCAGTATACTTTTGAACGTCGGCGTCCCGAACGGCAATGGCCGACTTGTAAACCCTCGCAGCTTTCATCAGACTCCTATTCTCACGACACGTCTCGGTGTAGTGCCTGTAACATTCTTGTAAATCTTCAAGTAACACGCGGTTGCTTTCTTTGAGATCGACCAGATCTTTTTCGACGTCCTGACGCACATCAAACAGCCAAGATCAGCCGTTGCATCAACAATTTCTGCAATTCATCCAACGGCTGATCTCTCGGACCCACCCACCTTCTGCTTAGCCTTCGATACTTGAGCGTCGCTTCTCGCCTGACGGAGTGCCTCTTCGACATTGGCTTTTTCTGCTTTCAAGTGCGCCAGATCTCCATTGAGCAGCGTCATCTCGCGCTCGTGGGTCACGCGCTGTTGGTCGCACCGACGCGTCCACACCTTTCCGCCAGACACAGGCGCACAGAGCTTCAGTCGCTAGTTTACAAACAATCAAACAAGCAAATCACCACACGAACGCACTCATGCAGCAGCTAACATTACTACAACCTCTTCCAACTCGCTGCGGAGCGTGTCGCGCTGCCGCGCTTGCGTCTTGAGCTCGTACATACTGTCTAGAGCGGTCTTGTAGTCACGCTCGAGATCCCGCCTGGCGTTCTCTTGTGCGCAGAGAACAGCCGATAACTGATCGACTTGTTGCTGTAAACTTCTGGCGTCCGCTCGACTCTTTTCTTTCTTCTCTGTCATCGCGTTCAGCTTGTCGCGAAGCTTCAAGCAGATCCGTTGGTACTGTTTGACAGCGGTCGACGACGCCACTGCCGCCGCAGCGCCAACGTCTTTTGTCGGCTCTTGCAATGGCGTCGACGCCCGATCGCGTGCACCCTTTGCCTCGTCCAGTTGCGCTCTGAGGTCGTCGACAACGCGCGTCCAGTCCAACGTGCGCTGACGGAGCTCGTGCTCGCGAGCGCTCACTGCGTCGCGGAGCTCGGCCAGTTCAACGAGCACGTCGGTCTTTGTACAGTCTTCTCCGCCTTTCAGTAGCAGCAACTGCTCTTCCAGGTAATTGATCCGTAGCGCCATATTGAACGTGTCACGGCCGTGTTGCGCTTGCTCGGCCGCTTCTTGCCGCAACAGTCGCCCCGGCGGTCGAGCAGCCGCGCTGCTCACGGTGCTGTTGCTCGAGCTGCCATGAAGCGACGAGACGTCCATAGCGCGCAAAGTGCAAGTGAACGAGCGATAGAGAGAGAGAGAGTGAATGTCGTTCGTTCCCTTGGAGTGAACGTCCTCGGTGCGGAATGGGTTGCACTTTCTTGCCATGTTGCCGCACGAGTGCGCAATGGCGCAAAGGTTGACGTTTGGAGCGAGTGATGGTCACTTCAACGTTGTAGCCGGTGATGGAATCTGGTGTAGGGCACATAAGAATCGAAAACCAACACCCATCTTAAGCATGACAAGAAATGAGACTGGCGACGGCAGCCGCGAGGCGCACGCGTACTTGGGCTCACTCGAGCCAGTGGACCTCCGTCACCGGTGTTTCTACCCGGATAACAAAGTGCTGATTCTACCGCTGATTTATCTGCCCGATATCGTACGTACTAACTGTCTACAAGTCCATGCGAAAGACGAGATCGTTTGTGCTCAACACGGACCGCGAACGTGTCGCGCTTTGCACAGGTGTTGTTCCCAGGCGACGATCTGCCGCTTCGCATGCTCTCGGACTCGACGCTCGGCGGCATTCAGCACCTGCTCACAAGCGAAGACGCGCTATTGGCTGTGCTGCCGCTGCACCAGACTCGTCCGCACTATGGCGTGACGGTGCAAGTCGAGCGGTTTCGCGTCGAAGACGACAGTGCACGAATGACTGGCGCGGCGCGGCAGCGTGTGCGTCTTCGGAAGAGGCTGCAAGTGGACCAAAGGGCCGGCGTTTGCTACGGGGAAGTCGAGATCTTGCCGCAAGACCGAGCGCTGTCGATGCCGTTTGATCGCTTGTGCTGGCAGCGACAAGCAGACGACAAGAAAGACACGCGCACGACGCGAATACGGAGTCTGGAGCGACTGCGTGGCCGGCAGTTTCCAGCGTACTATGGCCGCGCGACCTACGCGCTGTACGACGCGCGAGTGCTCGTGCACCAGATCCAGCACATGCTGCTGACGAACATGCACGGCGAGTGGTTTCGCAAGCCACGCAGAATGGACGAAGCAGCTGAGCAAGAGAGCAATGACGACCGTGGAGAGCACACGTCGTTGGTGCAGTACTTGTCGCTGCCGAGCGACCGACAAGACCCGAACCTGTTTGCGTTCTGGGTCGCTCGCAACTTACCGCTGGACACGGCCCAGCGACTGGAACTCTTGATGATGGACTCGACGGTGCGGTTGCTTCGTCGAGAGATCGAGCTACTGGAGCAAGTTCGAGAAGACATTTTCTGCTTCTACTGTGGCTCGTTCCTGGCCAACACGCGCGATATTTTCAGCATGACCGCGCGCGGGGCAGCAGGTGGCACGTTTGTCAATCCTGGCGGCCACGTGTTCCAAGTCTTGACACTGCGCGAGGTGGACCGCGCACATGTAATTGTCGACATGGCCCGTCGCGCCGAAGACACGTGGTTTGTAGGCTATGCCTGGAGCATCGCGCATTGCAGCTCTTGCTACCAACATCTCGGGTGGCGGTTTGACCGCGTGGATGCGACGCGCTCGCCTACTACTTTTTTCGGTTTCCGACGGACAGCGCTCACTCGGTCCCGAGGCTCGCGACACGTCGATCCGCGATCGCTGCACTTGGACGGGTACGATACAGACGACTTTGACACGTCCGTGGCGTCGAGCGAAGGCAGCAGCTCAATAACTGCCATGAGCGAAGAAATGTCGTTGCTGTAACGAACGTGCACCCAGCCAAAGAGAGGAAGGAAAACACTCCGACGAGCGAACGCAGCTTCAGCGTCAGGTTTATTGTTTATTGTGTACTGCAGCAGCAACAACGGCAGCACAAGGCAACAACAAGGCGGTATACACACGAGTATGTCCCGTCAGCAAGCAGCTCGAGATCGTGCAAGAGACGCCACTTAGTTGTCCGCGACGATCCACGTGTCGAGCGCGCGGTCGTAATTGCTCACCTCAGCAGGCGTGAACCACATGGAGATCTCGTGCTTGGCCGAGTCCGGGCTGTCCGAGCCGTGCACGAGGTTGCGGCCCGTGGAAATGCAGTTGTCGCCGCGCAGGGTGCCCGGGGCCGCCTGGTTGGGGTTCGTGGCGCCCAAGATCTTGCGACCCGTGAGGATCACGTCCGTGCCTTCCCAGACCATGCAGACGATGGGGCCCGAGGTGAAGTAGTCGACAAGACCCGGGAAGAAAGGGCGCTCCGACAGGTCGGCGTAGTGCGCTTTCGCACGCTCTTCCGTGGCCGTCATGAGCTTGAGCGCGACGAGCTTGTACCCCTTCTTCTCGAAGCGAGCGATCACTTCGCTGATGAGGCCGCGCTGCACGCCGTCGGGCTTGATGGCGATGAACGTGCGCTCCTTTGAGGTACCGGGCACGCCAGCGTGCGGCGTGACGGCCTTGTCGCTGGCGGCCTTGTTCTCGGCGACGGGCGTGGCGGTCAGTGTCAACGCGGCGACACCAGCAGCAGCTGCAACGGCCAATGCAGCGGGCGCTTTGATCGACAAGACGGCGCGCGACTGCGTGGCAAAGGTGCGCGTGGCGCTGCGCTTGGCGGCAACAGCGACGCGGGAGGAGACGCGGGCGAACATGGTCAGAGGAGGGGGTGCGATGGCAAATCTGAGAGTGTGGCGAGCGATGGGCGACGACAGTCGTCGGCGAGCGATCGTGCGAGCATTGTCGATCGAAAGCTGAGTCTGTATGGACGGCAGAGCGTCAGTCTGATTCGTGGCCCCAACTCGTCGAGGAGTTGTATAAGGTGCTTAAATGCACGGTGAAAAGAGTTGGAGACGGGGCGTTTGATTTCGTGTCGTGCGCGATTGGTCCCCGCTTTTTCCCGTCATCGTTTACAAGATAGAAAATGCTATTTATGTTTTTAGCTCGGATCATTAAAGAAAGCAAAATTCGCAAGCGCGTCTACAAAATTTTAAGCTGACAACCATTTGCGAAAAAAGGAGTGTTGTGATTGGTCTAGAGCTACCGAGTCATGCGAAAGTAGAGGCGGGTTGGTAGGTCAGCGGTGATTGTCATTCTTGGCCAAGCGACTTTATTCGACCCCCCCTTGTATCTTACCATTTCCGCCCGTGCGTTATTGATAAAAGAGAGAGGGGGAAGCTGGACGGGGCGACCCAATTGCATGGCATTCACACCAGCACATGTGCATGTAATTGTTGCCTAAGTGGATGGATCATCGAACAATCAGCTCGCGAATGTTTGTGCAATAACTTCTACTTATTAGTGGATGATTCAATATTTCAACCATCGAAGCGTCCAAAGTAGGCTAAAAGCGCGCAATGGGTGGCGAATCGATACGCCAAGCTCATGCGAGTACCCATCACAGTTGACATTAGTGTGAACAGATCGATATAAATACATGCGTTTGACTGTATCACAAACAATTCTATTACATTATTCGATTGACGTGTTTTAACGGGGCAGCCCGTTACATGGAATTGTCACTTTAAGGAAAGTGACAATAAAGAATATAAGGATGGATATTCTTTAAACAATATCACCAAAGTGGTGATATTGAAGGGTCGACCAAAGGGTCTGTTCATTGGTTGATATCGTGATGATATCAACCCACCAATCGCCGCAAGACGCGCGCAATGAGTGGTGACGAGACGTCACCATACATCCAGTTATATTAGTATAGTTAAACTAAGTCAAACAGAGAGACAGTAGTTTAAAGAATTAATTATATTAATATAACAGTTCTACTTTTACCCTACCTACGCTTCCTCGCTTGCCACGTGTACGTCCGTCGGGGCACCCAAAACCCTTGAGTTAAGTTACGCAAGGGTGTGCCCCGTTACACCTGGTAGCACTTTGTAGTCCTTCCAAGGACCACAACATCCAACATGAACATGTTGGATGATGAAGACACCTTTCACGCCACGCGTGAAGGGTTTACCCATTTGAGTGACATCGAATGGGGTGCGGTAGAACGAATGAGTTCTACCGTAGGCGAACTCGTCGTTAGCACCATGTTGAAGTCTCTAGACAGAGACCAACAACATGCCGCTATCGCCAAGTTCATTCAGAATGAACTTTCTCTCGAGAGGGAGAAAGTAGCCTTGCTTCACCAGCAAGGCTCTCAACAGGCCGAGCAGTTGAGAGAACTCGGTGCTCAACAGACGGAGCTGTTGAGACAGCAGCAATTCCATGCTGCTGTGGGTGGGACGGCGCATGCGCGTCGTCCCAAAGTCATGAAAGTTGACAACTCCAAGTACAGTGGAGTCCCGGAGGACTCCCTGTTACTATGGTTTGTCGAACTCGACAGAGCTCTAAGGGCTCGTCGCGTCGAAGATGAGCAAATGAAACTCACATTTGCTCAGACCCACTTGTCAGGGCGTGCCAAAACTTGGTCCCTGGGACTCGAGAGTAGCGACCCAAACGTGTTTTGGTCGCTAGATGACATCAAGTCCCGGCTCAGACAAACGTTTGAGCCGCCACAGGCTGAGTTCAGGGCTCGTTCAGAGCTCCTGAAACTCAAGCAGGGTAAGCGTGATGTGCACGCTTACGCTCAAGATATACGACTCCTTAGTACTCAGTAGTATAACTGCTAACCCAGTCCATGAACACACGTTGATTACGGTGTTCATGCAAGGGCTCGCAGAAGGGCCCGTCAGGAGCCATCTGTTCCGCCTTGAGCTGAATACGCTTGAAGAAGCGATATCAGCCGCGGAACAGGAAGACTTTAGCATGAGACAGGCTCATGCTAGCTCAAACTCTTACCGTCCACCGAGACGACAAGAGATCGGAGGTCCAGAACCAATGGACCTCTGCTATGTTGAGAGCGAGAGACCTCGCTCTACAAACAACAAGCGGTTGCATAAGTGCAATCGCTGTCAGAAGTTAGGGCACTACGCATACGAGTGTAGTGCTCCACGTCCAGTACCAAACAGTACTGAGCGAAATGGACGACCATTCGCCAGAAAGGGCAATGGGCGTGGGTCCAGCGCTGTTGCGAAGCCGCAACAGCGAGACGGACCATAAAAAAAATGGTCGGGGTCAGTAGGGGCGGAGCGCCCTACTGATCCAGCAACCTCAAGAGAATTTGCAAATCTCTTGACGAAAGTTGCTCCAGATACACAATCATTGTGTGTCTCTGCACCTGGTGATGACGTTTCGCTCATCACCTTGAAGTTGGAAGCGACAAATGATTTGTCGCTTCGTGCCCTAGTAGACTGTGGGGCGTCGAACAACTTTGTTCGTCGCCAGTCACTAGAGGGTCGTAGGCTCAAGTTCGTTGAGCGCGACATTCCCCTCACAAGGATGACGGTGCGCCTTGCAACAGGCGCATCGATTAACGTTGAGAAACGTGTAGTAGGAATCCACTACACGTTAGAGGGCGAACAGTACGATGATGACTTCATCGTACTAGATCTGGATGACAAATTTGATGTCATCCTGGGATTACCTTGGCTCAGAAGGTACGAGCCAAGGGTGAGCTGGCAGCATCGATCCGTTAAGATGCCTGCCGCTTGTTCATCAGATGGCCATCTGATGAACATCTTGGAGCGTCCACAAGCGTGTGGATGTTCTGCGAGTGAGTGCGATGGCCTCACTTGCGGTACGGTCGTTAGCACGACTGCACAAGATCACAGTGTAGTTGATCACTACACTGTGGAGCAAGCTCCCGGCGACTGTACAGAAGTACAGGTGGCGCCGAAGGTCCACCACTCGAAGAAGTCGAGTGGACCGGGACATGGATGCATGCCTAGCGGGCAGCATCTTAGAAGAAAGAAATCTGTTGCCCCCAAAGGGCAACATGGACATCCTAGGTCGACTGGAGAGTCGACCGTAGAGGATCGGTTCCTGACTGTGGTTGCACAGCCACAGTCGGAAGACGTCGAGGGAATAAGTCCCCACGCACTTGAGGAAGGAATTCCTCAAGAGTCGCTTGCTGAGTGATTAGGCCCTCAGCAACCTGTGGAATCAAGTTCCCAGGAAGAAACCGAGACGTTGAACGTCTTGGTTAATGACGGATCAAGCGTAGGCGCTTATACGCTTGATCTGATTGTGCCTCCGAAGTTGACTTCGGAGATAACTCAGTTGCCAACGCTAGAATCGAAACGGTTCTTGCGTGATCTGCGTAGTGGCAAAGTCAAGCAGATCTGCATACTCGTCACAGAGGACGAGTATGTGGCCGATATTCGGTCGGCAACAGTATTTGCTGAGAACGAACGGGTTCTCAGCAGCTCATCGATGGACGAAAGTGTCCTCGATGAGAAGACTCGGATTGAGCGATACGCGTCCCAATCCTGGGAGTCACTTCAGGCAAATCCTTTGTATAAGGATTTGATCGAATTCAGGGATGTGTTCCCTGAATCCGTACCTTGCGAGTTGCCTAAGGACAAAGGCACTCGACACGAGATCGAGCTCAAACCGGGCTCGAAATACTGTGTCATGAAGCAGTGGCCACTGCCTCGTGAACAAGTACTAGCGATCGACAAGTTCTTTGCCGATCGCTTAGCAGCGGGCCATGTGAGGGAATCAACATCCCCTCACAGCTCTCCGACCTTCTGTATGCGAAAGGCCACAGGAGGGTGGCGGATAGTGCACGCATTCAACAAGTTGAATGCTGCAACGGTACCGGCTCAGACGCCGATACCGAGGAAGGACGTAATCATAGATGGTATGTCAAAGAGTACCATCTTTTCGTCCATGGATCTGATGGATGGATTCTATCAGATCCTGATGCGTGAACGGGACGTCCC